ACACTCTTCTTTCTCAGTTCTTATGTTTGTAGCCATATGATACTAGCAGGAACCTCTAATAAAGCATTAAATACAAATAAAGATGGTAGTGCTACTGTAACAAACTGTGTGAGCTTGGCGATTTATACAAAACAGAGTTTTACTGCTCAGAATCAGAAGACCCCTAGAATCAAGGACCTGGCAGGCTCTGAGTTTGGTGGGGCCCAGTCCTCTACTTCCTGGGTGGTGGCTTTTTGCTATGTGCTGTAGGAGGAGGAAGGCTGTGTGTTAACACTGCAGAAGGAGTGGAAGGAGGCAAACCAACTCCCCAAAACTATTTCATGAACACCTTCATCGGAGCCATGAGACCTCTTTCTCTGGAAGCCCTCTCCTCTTAACACTATTGCATTGGAAAATCAGCTCCAGAATAGGAATCTGGGGGACACTTTCTAATCTAACCTGTCCTCACTCATGCCTTTTCCCTGCATTGTATGGAATGTATGTATGACATCACATTAGTAACAAGTCATAATGAGCTTCTGGGGAAAAATTTTTAAATATATTTAACACATCTTTATCATCCTAAATTCAATGACCCCCCCCCCATTCTTTTCACCTTCCTTTCATCCAATTTTCCTTCTTTAGAAGACTACCTTGTAGTTTCCTTTCCTCTGTCCATTTTATTGTATTTATTCCTGGACTTAGTTACTCATACAGGAGAAGGCACAACTGTATGGAATTTACTCTTGTTTCCTCCACTGAGTTAATCTGGTTTTGAGCTTTTTGGTCAAAGCTTCTGGCTGAATGTGCCTGGGGTACCCCTGCTCCCTGCATTCGGTCCCACTGATTTGGTGCGTCCTGTTTTGTGCCAGTTCCATGCTGTTTTTAATCACTGTGGCTCTGTAATGTAACTTGAAATCTTGGATTGTGCTGTCTCCTGCTTTGAAGTTGCTGTCTGGGACTATTTTTACTCCTCCAGGTCTCTTCTGTTTCGATTGACTTGTGAGATGGTTTCACTAGTTCCGTGGAAGATGCAGTGTGTCTGCGACTGTATTACCTACAGATCAGTTTCGGTAATATTTACAATTCAGCAAAATTCATTCTGCCTGTCCAAAACAGGGGATATCCTTCCTTTTTATGATGTTCTCTTTGATTCTTTTTCATAGCATTGGGGTTATGATTGTAGAGGCCTTTTACTTCCTTTCATAGATTAAATACATGTTAAATTTTTCTTGAATTTACTGCCAATGGTATTTTTTCTTAATTTATTTTCTAGTGAATTCATTTTTGCGTACAATAATGCTATTGACTTTTGTGTTTTGATTTTTCATATTGATAATTTCAATAGATTTCTTCTCATAAATCATTCTTGTATTCCTGAAATATGCTGCTGTTTGACCTTTGTCTCCCAGGGACATTTTGGTCTATTATCAACTTCTTCTAGGATTTCAAATTTAATGGAATGAAGTTTTCCAAAGTAACATCATTTCAAAGTTTCACATATTTCAACAATTTTTCCTTATCATTTGCTATTATTTTGTGTGTGTGATTAACTAGGGATTGCAATGTACACTATTACAACTTTTAGGCATATTCTGCATTTTTTGATAATATTAGTATTTTGACATGGCAGTCATTTAGACTTGAGTAGCATATCCAGGCTGAGAGAATATTTCATCTTTCAAGTTAATTTATAGTTTTACAGCACAGTGCAAACAATATGTTTGTGTGAACTTGACAGCATGGAATTTATTACACTTTTTTTGTACATTAGCATGTAGTTGGTTTTCATAAATATTTTGCTCTGTGTACCTGAAAATGTGTTTTCTCTGTTATTAGGCTATGAAGTTTAGTACTGTAATGATTAAAAAAACTGAGAGGTTCCTTTTTATTTTATCTTTTATTTTTTAAGGCAGGGTCTCACTATGCAGCCCAGGCTGGCCTTAAACTCTCCCTACCTCAGCCTCCCGAGTGCTGGGATTCCAGGTGGGCACCAGCATACCCAGCAACTGAGGGCCCCCATGTAATTTAATTTTGCCCTCTTTGCAGGTGGAAGCTGTGGAAAATGCACAGATGAGGTGACTTGTGAAGAACTTTAGCCCCTGAGTCATCACTGGCTAAGAACCAGCCCCAATAGGAGGTAAATAGATAGTGAATGAATTAGTAAGTGAGTGGGAATCTACCCAGTAGGTAGTGAGGAGGTCCTGACTTGGACCAACATGCACAGTGGGGGATACCGGGGAGGTTCTGTGCCCCTGTGGTTGTTTAGCTGTAGCTGTAGCCTGTGTGCTGGGCACCTGGAGAGACCTTGTTAGCTCTCTCCTTTGGGATAGCACTCATTTTTGCAGAAGCAAAAATGTACTGTGTATCCTCAGTGTCCCCATGTGTAATTGCCAGCCTCTCCCTATGTGTTCTGGGAAGAGGACAGGTCAGTTTGTGGCCAGAGGTGAAACAGCAGGGGAAGTGGAGCCCTCAGCACTGTGCTCAGGGTGGGATTCATGGGAAGACTGGGGTGGCAAGGGCCCCAGCCAGATCTCACAGGGTTTGGGGCCGGGTTGAGGATGTTTTCTCTAGGAGAGATGGGAGCCACAGCAGAAACTGACAACTGCAGACAGGAACTGGATCCATGAGTGCACTGAGGTGGGCCAGGCTGAGGGAGAACTGGGGTGGGAGTGGCTGTCATTAAAGGTGTCCTAGCCAAGGAAGCCTTCACTGGCAGGTGACAGTTGAGCTAAGTCCTCACAGTGACTGTTTCCAGTTTCTGCAGACTTGATACTTTGACATCCATTCTATGTACACACACTGGACACTTGGTGCTCTGCAGGAGTCAAGGATATGCCTGACTTATTCTTCTCTCAGAAGAAGCAGGGACTGTGCTTCTCAGAAAAAAGGAAGCAATCCAGCTTTGCATTTTATTGTCATATATAGCCTGTGAAGATCAAGGAAAACAAAATATCCAACTTCAGCATCGACATTCTTGTCATATGGGTTGTCATAACTTATGGCCCCAGTGTTTGGTCTCAGCTGATCATTAGCACCTTTGAAGGCCCTGATGGTCACTGATGTAACATATGATCCAATAACATTTGTGGGCGACTGCAGATACCTGGCGCTCCACCTTCCTCACTTGTTATGGTTTATACTCAATGTCAACTTGAGAAGTCTAGAGGCTTCACAAGTGTTTCAGCATTTGAAAAGTTTGGAACTTAATAACTATGTGATTCAACAGGGGTCAGGGTCCCTAGTTTATAACATCCTGCATACATAAAATAGGCAAATGAGGGGAGACTGGTTGCTGCTTCTAGGAGGAGTTCCAGTCTTCATTTTTCAGCTCAGACATCATCATCTCCCGGCTTCTGTTTGGCTCAGCCTAGGACTCCCCAGCCTTGTCATAGAGTCTTCCACCTCCATCGTTGATTCTTCTGTGCTCCATCATAGAGGCATCAGCCTCCTGATACAGACTTGCATGGGACACAGCAGTAAGCTCCAGCCCATGGGCTAGACCCTTAAACTTCTGCTGTGCAGACATCTTTTGCATGCTTCCTTATTCAACATTGTGGCTGATCATTGTAAGCCATTCTTGTAATTTCTTGTACTGTTTTGTATCTTGTGTTATATCTGTTTCTCTAGTTAACTCTGACTTAATACACTCACAGACAATTTTTGAATCTTTCAGATTTCACCTGTTTGTTCTCTATGACTGGGAAGCAGGAATTGTCCTTGGGTTTTCTTGCCCTCTTTGTGTGTTGGACCTGCTCTTGGTGGTGCTTCTTCTCCCTGGTGCACTTTTAGCTTCAGTAGAACATAGACTTCAGTGTTTCCTGAGATATGAAACACACAAGACAGGGAATCACAAAACCATTTTGTGCAGGAAAGTGCCTTTTATTCAGTTGGGTAGACAATTTAGGTAAGTGTGGATCTTAAATTGAAAATCAGTTTTCCAGAAAAACTACTGAATTTTGATTGCTTTCGTCATTTCTCTTCTAACATTTGGTGTTGTCTGTGAAAATATGAAACCACTATGTATCACCCTTAATTCACTTGTGTAGCCTAATGTTGTGCTCTGCAAACTTGTGGTATTTTCTCTTTGTGCTTCCCTCTATCCTAAAATTGAAATCCAGGTGTTTGACCCCTCTGTGTGGGCAGCATGAGAACATGGTTGTGTGCCTTGTGTGGGCTGGTGCTGAAAAGGCTGCCAGTAGCTCACACAGGATAACCTGGCTGCTAAGAAAATACTGAGTGTTTAGAAAAAGAGAAAAGCCTATTAAGTAAATTTTTTTGCAAACAAAAGTGCTTTTAGCTTTACAAATGAATTTAACTTAATTACTTTCTATACATTGCACCTTGAAACAAACATGGATTCAAGTAAATCCAAGCTTTAGGAATTAAGAGGAGTCATTCTCTGTGCTAAATGTCCAGGCTTATTCAGCTGCATGTACATCATGCAAAAACTCAGGGAGAGGGGAGAGTTTACCACACTTCATTCTTCTGATGTACACACACTCTGGGGCCTCCTCAGAAGCACTCAAGTTAGAAATGACAAAGTACACAATATAGAGACAGATTTGCAGTCCACTGTGATAAATCTCATTGCCTTTTGCTAGTTATTTTGTTTGTGTTTTAGTAGCACTGAAGATGAAAAGCAAAGCCTTGCTTATGCTATGCAAGTGCTGAACCCCTGGCGCTCTCCCACGCCCCACACCTGCCTCCACTGCAGCATGTTTTTGTTCAGGTTTGTGTATGTGCTGGTTGTTTGTTTGTGTTTTCAGAGTGTCTCATTATATAGTCCAGGCCAGCCTCAAGCATACTCTGTTCCTGCTTCACAGCCCCCGCAATTGCTGGGATCCCAGACTTGTGCCACCAGAGCCACATCTGGAACTGTGTATCTGTGCCACATTTTTCCTATTCACTTAAGTTTGGGGTCTCAACAAGAGATGTGTGAGAGGCTGGCGCCACCCAGAGTCTAAATCTGGGAAGACAGCAGCAGTGGTCCCGCCCCCTAAGACCCCCAGAATAATGACGCTGCGCAGGCGCACTGGAGCTGTTGCGTCGCGACGGCGCAGACAGTGACATCATCAGATGGTGCAGGCAAGGGCCACGTGGAAGACCGACAAAGAAAGACTGAACAAGTATATTTGCTGTGTGCACAAAAAAGATTTCTAGGTGGCTTTGCGTTCTTTTCTTTCGAGATGGTGCTGACGCAAGCGTGTTACGCTGCGGTGGACTTTTCAGCGAGCCGATGCCCTCCAGGCTTCCTCCGAGGAACTCATCCCGAGCGACATGGAGAAGGTAACTCCAGAGCCGCGCGACCCCTGCTCTCTGGCTGCACACTTGAGCATTATCACCCAGTGCTCTTTCTTTAGGTCACAGAGGTCCTGTGGCCCATCCATCACAGTTCTAAAGAAAGCAAACAGACCGACAGATGCTCTATCCAAAGATGAGGAAAGAAGAGTTAGCGCTTGGGGGAGGTTTAGGGAACCTCACAAGTAAAGATATGTGGGGTCCCAGGTTGGCTCTGGAATAGGAAAAGGTCATTAATGGGCGAACGGATGAAACCCTCATGAATTCTTTTATGTAGTAATACTGTGCAAATATCAGTGTCTTACTTTGAATTCTTTGTGTTTTATTTGTGGTCACAGGTACTGTTAGAAGGTAGAAGCTCATTGTAGCATTGCCTAACACTAAAACCGTTTCAAATAAAGGGTTTAAGGTAAAAGTTATACATAAAGTATTTCATGTTGCAGAATAGTTGATATTGCAGGGATTTTTTTTTGATCCATTGTGATAATCTCTGCTTTTCAATTAGTAATATATATATATATATATATATATATATATTTTTTTTTTTTTTTTTTTTTTTTGTCTTTTTACCGGTATCGGGGATCGCACTCACGGCTGCCTGCTTGCAAGGCAATGCTTATGCCGCTGAGCTAAATCCCCAGCCCCTAGTAATATGGTTTTAATGTGTTTTTAGATTCAAGTTTGACTTAAGCCTATCGTGTAACTATTGATACACTCTGCTCTGTTATCTTTTTCTTTCTTGTCTTCTATTAGCTTAATCCTTATTTTCACAGTCACTTTTTTGCCCAGTGTTATTGCATGAATGGGTCAAATCAAACCTGCCGCCTGGTTTTTGAAATACGGCTTTATTAGAATCCTAGGTTTTTACCGCTGGCTCACATTTGCTTTCATGTTTCAGTGGCAGAGTTCAAGTGAGGGACACATCTGGTCGTTCGGAAAGCTGGCTAAATCTGTCTGATCATTCATAGAAAGAGTTTGCCAATTTCTGATGGAAGTTCCATAAGCGTCTTTGTTTAGGTCCCCCATACTATTATTATTAATAAGCATTCCTAGTATTCTGCCCCAGTCACAGATTTCTGACCCTCCAGCAGGGTCAATTCTGCTCCCATCCAGGCCAGAGCTGGGCTCCATGAAGAGCAGCAGTGCTGTGCCTGCAGTGGCTCTGAGCTATGGGCCCTTCTGCTTTGCCTCCTCAGCTCTGGGTCACCACCTTCACTATTGGTGCTTGACCACTTTCTATGTTCCAGGACTTTAAAGGGTCTGTGTGGCATCGTGTGAGCTCCCACTGGAGGGATGCTACTCGTTTTTCATAGAAAAAAAAAACAGGTTTAGTGGGCCAAGTGGCTTGCCCAAGTCCTGTGTTTCTGTCTTCAGTAGCAGTGGCAGGCCCAGGTCTACGCCAAGGCTTTCTGGGTCTCCAGTCCCCATGTTACTGGAGCTCCAGCTGCCTCTGCTGGCTATTCCTGTGTGTTTGTGTGTCTACCCCTGCCTGGGAGAAGCATTAGCAGTTACTCCTAGCCAGCATCACCGCCTTGGGCCTGCATGATGACAATCAACTTGTGTCTATAGAGAAAAAGGTCATTCTGAAAAATCAATGAAACAAGTACTACATGTGAAAAACTGACATTTGGCATTTGAGTTTCATTATGATATCTTCCTTGTTGATTTTGCTTGAATCAAGATATAAAGAAATCTCACATTACATTTGGTGAAACAGTCCTTTTATTTATCCCTTTTCAATTCTTCATTCAGTGACAATATAAATACAGGACTCAGGGTATAGGTCAATTGTAGAATGATTGCCTAGCAGGCACTAGACTCTGGGATTGATCCTTAGTGCTGGATAAACAAATAAATTAAAAGGAGACAGTACAAATATATACAACAAATACAATGTGGATGTACCACAGCACATAATGTGGTTTAGGTGAGTGCATAGCTTGTCAAAAGATGAGATCCCTGGTTTCTTGAAGAACCCATTGTGCTGTGATACAGGCTGAGCTCAGTGCTGTTGGTAGTCCTTCTTCCAACCCTGCCCCACTCATCTGTCTCCCAGGAAGGTCATTGCCCCTGAAGATTAGGGGGAGTCGCGTCCTGTGTTCATGTGGCTTGTCTCCTTTAGAGTAAAGCTCTTTGCATGCTTGTTCTGAAATAGCGGGAGCACCTGGAAATTGCCAACAGCATTAGAGGTGAGAGGCATCTCCAAAGTCCTTCTGCTTGCTTTCCTCAGGTCTGGATCACCAATGGCAGACTGACTTGGAGTGCTGTTTGCAAAGACTGAGGAATTGGATTCTGACAACTCAGTCAAAGGCAGACACAGAAATGTACAACTTGGGTAGAGTCACTAATGGAAGCCTAAAGATAGGCCTTTAAGGCTTCAGCTGTAAGTTTGTGTGTGTGTGTGGGGGGGGTTCAGACAGGCTGAACGAACCTGTGTTGCTTCTTCCAAATTTCAAGATAGAATGATATTTAATTGTTTTGGGTTTCATTAAACATTTTAGTAAAAGCATATTGAGGATACAGCAGACACCATGGTAATAAAGGGGAGTGCTTTGAAAATGCTATTCCACAGACAGAAAGTATAGCTCTCAGTGTGTTGAGCTGTGGTGAATTCAGGGGCAGTGCACTTGATGAAGATTTCAGCCTTGTTGGTGAGGGCAGCAGCAGCCACCAGAAAGGGCAGCACAGCAGATGTCCTAGTTAACTGCTGTGACAGGCCACCCTGGGATTCCTGCCTGAAATCTTCCTCTTACTCCCTCTTCTGCACACCTACACCTCCGTTTGTCCCTGGTTTGTTCAGTTCAGTTGAGCACAGGGTCCTCAGTGTTGCCACCTTCTGCCTTTGGCACGTCCATGGCCACTGCTGTGTGCTCATTGTATTTAGGGACCCTGCTCTCAGGAGAGTATGCATTTCCATGTCAGTTGCTTGGGATCATAGCTCCCTCTACTGTAGGAAATGCTGTTCTCTCTAGCTTGATCCCTATCTAATCATTTCTGTTGTGTTGCCTTGAAAAAGCCTGACAGCCCTTAATAAAAATATTCTCTGCCTCTTCCAGCCTCTGTCTCTCATACTTTATTTATTTATTTATTTTTGGGTACTGGGAATTGAACTCACAGCCTTGTACTTGCCAGGCAGACACTTATGCCGTGGCATCTTGTCTCTCACTGTTACGCCACCTTTTATTTCATTTGTAAAACTGAACACAATATTATATCATCTTGTTTATAGTTTATCTCCCTAACCATAGTGTGAACTCCAAAAATATAGGAAATTAGTGTTTTCTGTACTGTCCTACCAGATGCTGAGTGAATGAATTGCATGTTTGTGAATGAAGAGCAGGATGGTTTGCATTCATCAGATAAAGGCTTGTATTTCCTGTTTTCCAGGTTGCATAGTCCACTTGTGAACACCAGGGTTTCCATCCATAAAAGAGAAGCCAGAGGTGGGGAGAGGTGAGTTGCCAGCTGCCGTCCTGTAGCAGCTCTGTACCAGCATGGGTCTGACCTGTGTGTCCCACTTGTGTGAGCCTTGCTGCTAGCAGCTCAGCATGCACCTGGCCAGAAATTTATCCAGGCCTCTCTACTGGATCATCATCCCTGGAAATTAGCAGTACAGCAGCTTGAAATGTTGCATGCTCTGCACTAGGGACTGGAGTTGGGTTAGGAACCTTCCTTCACTGCAAGGCCATGATTGAGTAAGGGGAGGATTCAGTTGTCCACCATGAATACAGGCTGGGGGAGTTTCAGAGATGTTGAGGTTCTGATAAAGCATAAGCATGGGTGTAGGGCCTCTGTCTGAATGGCTTTTTATTTCTGGAGTGAAATAATTTTGGGGATGGGAAATAATTCATACAGCATAACATGTTCAACATTTTCCATTCGAAAATACACACTGGTTACTTTTTTAAAAATTCAATTTATTTTATTTTTAATCCATTTTATTTTAAAGAGAAAAAAATTCAAAATGCATCAATCAGGGGAACAATGGACATATATTGTGCATTGTGATCCCCAATTCATTAACCTAGAGCACAAGATATCTACATTCAATTGTCCAAACAATGCCAGCACAGATCTTTCTCTTTAATGCGCTCAGAGAAATCAGTACTGTAAGTATCTTAACTACACACACACACACACACATATAGATGTTGTTTTTTTCAGCTCACAGTAGTGAGACAATACAGTGTATGCAGTGTTTACATATGAGTCTTAATTTATTTTACTTAGGAGTGTGGCCTCAAATTACATCCATTTACCTTTAAAAAGCTCCAGTTTATTCTTCTTTATGTCTGAGTAGTACTCAGTGTGTAAAAGCACCACAACTTTTTTTATCCATTCCTCAGTCAGTGAGCATTTAGATTGTGTCCAAGTTCTAGCTATTACAAATTGTGCTGCTGTAAACATGGGTGCACATATATCAATGTGATATGATGTTTTTAATTCTTTTGGAAAGATACTCAGAAGGGGAATAGCTGGGTCCAGTGGTACCTGTAGTCCTAATTTTTTGAGGATTCTCCACACTGATTTTCACAGTGGTTGTGCCAGTCTGCATTCCCACCAACAGTGGAGAAGGGTTCCTTTTTCCCCACCACCCCTCCAGCATTTGTCATTTCTTGATTTCTTGATAATAGCCATTATTTCTGGGGTGAGGTGGAATCACAGTGTTTTTTTAATTTATATGTCTGAAATGACTCATGATGTTGAACATTTCATCATATATATATTTATTTGTTGTTTCTATTTCTTCACCTGAGAAGTGTGTATTCATCTCAGATCCCTATTCTTGGATTGGGTCTTTACATATAGGAGGATGGATTTTTTTGTTGTTGTTGTTCTATGTTCTCAGTGGTCATCCTTTGAGCTATACCTGGCAAGCATTTTCTCCCATATCATGGGAGAAAATCTCTTCACTCTGTTGGTGGTTTCTCCTGCTGTGCAAAAACTTTGTAATAGAATGAGATCCCAGTTGATTCTTTTTGGTAGTTCCTGTGCAATTGTTGTTTTGTTCATAAAGTCTACCCGCACCACTGTGTTTAAGGCTTTTACTTACTTTGTCTACCAGCAGATTTAATGTTTCTGTTTTAATATTAAGATCTTTGATCTACTCTGGTTTTAGCTTAGTGCACAGTGAAAGACATGGGTCCATTTTTAATCTTCAGCATGTGCTGAGCCAGTTTTTCCAGCACCTTTTATTTTATTAAGGAGGCTGTCTTTCTTCCAGTGAAAGAGTTTGGTCCATTTCTAAATGATAAGTTGGCTTAGTCTCTCTGTTTTGGTTTCTTCTAATCTGTTCCATTAATCTTCAGGTCTGTTTTTAGTCAATACCATGCTCTGTTATCACAGTAGATTTATAGTATAATTTTGACCATTTTTTAAATATGGTTACTGAACTGTACATCATGACCTTGAGCATTGCAAAGCATTTTCTTTACACTGGAAGATATGCCAGCCCCTCCTAACCTCCACCTCTTAGAAGCTGTTATTTTACTTTGTGTCTCTATGGATTTGATCACTAAACATTTCATATCAATTGCTCATAGAGTAGGTCTTTTGTGTCTGGCTTCTTCAATGGTAAACTCTTCTCAAGATTCATGTGTCTCAGGGCATGAGTGAGTACTACATTCCTTCTTCAGAAAAAAAATTGTTTTTTCTTTTTGAGAAAGGGTCTCACTCTGCAGATCAGGCTGGCCTTGAGTTCACTTTGTAGTCCAAGGTGGTCTCAAACTTGCAATGATCTTCCTGCCTCAGCCTCCTGTATGCCGGTATTACTGGCATGTGCCACCACAACTGGCTCCAAAAATATTTTTGACAATACTGGGGATTTAATCTAAGGACACTCGACTATTAAATAGTATCCCAATATTTTTCCCTTTTATTTTTTGAGACATGGCCTTGCTAAATATCTGTGGTAGGCCTGGAACTTGTGGTCTTCTTGCTTTGTCCTCCCTCATTACTGGGATTACAAGCATGTATCACCAACCTGGCCCCCAGCCCTTGTAGTCAGGGATTGCAAGGAGAACGATTACATACAGGACACAGAATTTATATTATTTCATGATGGTCACCCAGAATTAAATACAAGAAAGGGCCAGGAATCTGTCCAAAACACTAAATACCTAGAAAATTGAGCCAAGGCCTGGAATCCCATGGCAGTATCCTGAATGTGTCCAGCTGAAGACCTAGAGCCCATGACAGTGTCTCATGGAAGTCTGTTTCATGGATCTACACCAGGAAGCTCCCAAGGTCAGCAGTGGAAGCCAGAAACTATGCCAGTGCCGTGAAGGATCTGTGCCAGTAAGCTGAGGGTTCTACATGTGAGTTAAAAAGCAATGCTTAAAACAAGGACCAGGGCTCCCCCAGAAGCACCCCAGTCCTCCTCAGTGACAATGAGGTCCTTAGGTCCTCTGATGATGAGAACAGTTGAGTTCATATCAGAAAGCCAGCTCTCCTGGAGATTAAACACACATCTTCCCCTCTGGACCCAGGCAGTGATGCACAGTGTAGGGTCCAGAGCTCCCCCAAACTGAACCGCAGCCACTCTCAGTGACAAGGTCCCAAGCTCCCCTGCTGACTGTGGCTGGATTCATATGGGGAAGCCTGCATGACAGGCTCCTCCAGGAGAACAATTGCTCCCAACTGCAGCACAGGAGAGCTCACAGTGCTGTGCTCTTTTTTTCTCAGGTGGCCATCTGCACTCAGCACCACGCTGATTTAATTCAGCTGGTGTTAAGCTGACCACTCATTTTAAATCCATAACAGCCCTGTTTAACTTTTATTTTGAGATGGAGTCCTGCCTTAGGTCAGCCCCTTCCTCAGCTTCCCAAATGGCTGGCACTCTAGGCTCGCACTATGACACCTAGTAACACTGCACGCCTACTCATGGTAGTATAGCATTTTTAATGAAACATTTTATGAATTGCTGAAGATTTGTTTGGGTTGTTTCCACTTTGGGGCTGTTGTCAGTAATGCTGCTGATAATAGGCTCAAATTCATATTCAGGTTTTGTGTAGAAAATATGTCTTCAGTTTGGATATAAACCTAAGGTAGAATTTTGGGGCTGTGGCATGACTGTGTTTATAATGAGGATCTGCCAGTGTGGTTTCCAAAGTGACTCTGCAGTTTTATATTCCCAGCAACAAAGTGTGAGGATCCCTTTTCCTTGGTCTTCACTGACAGTTTTTTTTTTTTTTTGCCTTTTTCCTTTTTATCGGTACCAGGGATCGAACTCACAACTGCCTGCTTGCAAGGCAGGCGCTTATGCCACTGAACTAAATCCCCAGCCCCCCCTGACACTTTTTAATCTCTGGTTTTACGGTTACTCACAGGCAGTCATCTAGGTATGTTCAGTATCTTAGATCACAGATCTTGCATATTTTGTTTAAAGAAGTATGTTTTCAACCAGTGTGAAATGCATAGCTGTCATTCTAGCACACAGCAGGCTGAGACAGGTGAACACAAGCTCAGGGACAGCCTGTGTGACAGGGCAATTTCTAGATTAGACTAGAGTACATTCTGAGGTCCTGACTCAAAAAAACAAGACATTTTGAAATTTATTGCTCTAAAGTGAGTGGCTTTTGGTTGCTTCTCTGCCATAATTTATTGGTGACCTCAGATGAGGAATTTGACCCTGGAGAGCTCTGCCCAGATTCTCAGACAGGAGCAGAGACCAAAGTAGTCCTGCTTCTCTCTGGGGTGTTTTGAGAGTCAGATGACACTCAGATAAGGTTAAACAGTCTGCTTATTTGGATAAGACTGGCCCAATCTTGCACAAGTGGCTGCTTGTGAGTGCAGGACAAGGGGCTGGAAAGGAGGAGAGTGCTGGGGTTCAGCCCAGTGACATAAGTGTCTGCTTGGTGAGTGCAATGTCATGAGTTCAATCCCCAGAACTCCCCCCGTCAAAAAAAAAGAGAAAGAAAAGAGGGGACAGGCTGTGCGCAGTGACAAGCTTTTGTTTTTCTTGTAATCCAGATGTTCACAAAACAAAGTTTTGTTACCCTCATGTATGTGGCCAGACGTGCTGCTGGGAAGCTGGCCTTGAACCTTGTCCCTCCA